CACTGAGTCCGCTGGTACAGACCTCCATCGGCGTGGACAGCCCACTGCACTGGGCAGCCACAAGTCATGAGTTCAGAAACCCAAACTCAGAAGTGGTAACTGCAAGAGGAGGAGGAGGAGGAAGGGAGATGTTAGGCAAAAATAGAACTTTTCAGGAAGACTAGAACCTGGTGATCTGTTAGAGAGCCTATGATAGCATTTGTATTTTAAACTTGCTGAAAGATTTCTCATCAAACTATGAATTGATGTACGTGTTAATTGGCTCAAGCTGGCTATCCTATAATCATGTACCCCATATGTATACATTTATTACTTATTAGTTAAAAACAAAATTAAACAGGACGTGATGGTGCGCCTCTGTGATAACTCAGGACAGAGGCAAGCCCATCAGTAGTACTTCAGGGCCAGTGTAGGCCTCTCCAAACTACTTCACAGATAGATCATAGATAGATCATAGATAGATAGATGATAGATAGATCGATCGATAGATAGATAATAGATGAAAGATAGGTGAGAGATGAGAGATGAGAGATGGATTGATAAAAGAGAGGTGATAGATGAGAGATGGATTGATAAATGATAGATAGGTGATAGATAGCTTTTCTTTTTAATTGAACCATGAAGTAACAAGTAAAGAGCAAGGTTAGCTGGGTCTTTGAATGTGGATAGATAGGAAGCAGAGGGATACTAAGAAATGTTTGAACTTGAGTCAGGTTCTCCACACCTTCTCTGGCTGAGGGCAGCATTAGGGGGAACTGGTCTAAGTAGATACGTGGTCACAAATATGAGACTCTGGAAGTCAACCTCCAGGTGATTACATGCCTACATTTTTTTTTCCCAGAAATACAATATTGGCCTCTAGTTTGAGGCATTTCCAACTGGCAAGCTTTCTTTGCTCCTCTGCGGCTCCCTGATGAAGGGGGAAGGTAGACGTGCCCTATTGCACTTTACCTGTTACTGCAGCATAGAAAGGCTGTGCGACTGGAAAGTCATGTCATCGGCTACACAGGTCATCAGTTTCCGCAGCTGTCCTTCAAGCCATGCTAAGACAAGCTACCCCCGTCACCCGATCCCCGAGTGTGCCCTGAAGTAGAGACAGCTGCAGCATTCTCTCTTTAAAAAGACTTAGCAAACAATGTACCTATAAATTCGTAATTGCTGTTGGGTGCTTCTGTTATTTTTATAGTTGCTAAATGCAGAAAGCAAACAGATGGTGGGGCTGGCCTGCTGGTGGCATTTTATAGAATTAGTGGCTGTTTTCTTACTTTCTGCCAAGTCTTAGTGTACGAGCTTTGGAGACTATGGGAACTAGGATGTTTTGAGATGGCACTAAAGGATATTTGGTACCACAGTCAAGTAACAAACAGTCTCTCTAAGGAGGGAGAACTTTTACTTCTGTGTTCAGGTTACAGAGATTTACAGAGATCCAGCAAAGTAACGGCCCTCCGTCTTGTTCTTTGTGCCAGAACTTAGGAAGGTGCCCATACAGGACACTCCATGAATATGAGGGATGGACGAGTGAATAATAGCAGTATGTGATGGAACAAGGAAGCAGCAAATGCTGCCAACAGTATGGGAATGGGAGAACACCAAACACCACTGGCAGGTATGAAAGTGTATGCAGTCTGTGTGGAGGTTTCTCTAGCAACTGAAAACAGAGCTACCACAGAACCAGTCATGCCACTCCTGGAAATGTATCAGAAGAACACTAAAGATCCCACAGATGTGCTTGCATATCCTTGTTACAGCAGTATTCACAATAGCTAGGGCCGATCAGCAGATGAAGGGACAAAAAAAAAAAAAAAAAAAAAAAGGAGTATGTCCATACAATAGAATTTTATTCACCTATAAAGAATGAAAATACATCTGTTTCAGAAAAATCAAGGAAACTGAAGATAGAATTGTTAAGTTAAATAAGTCAAACTCAGAAAATATATGCCATGTGTTCTCTGCCACACATGAAATCTAGGTTACATATGACAAGGCAGTAGAAGGGGGACTATCTGAGGGAGAAAGAAGACCAACATTAGGTGGAGCTTGAGGAGTCTGTGGAAGAGTGGGGGGAAGGATAGGAGGACCCAGAGGACAAAAACTCAGCAAGAAAATCAACGGTCTAGGCCCATCGTTAGGGCCAGAGGTTACGCCAACTAAACTAGGCCCATGGGGCCTTACAGAGACTGAACCACCAACCAAAGAGCATCCATGGACTGGATCTAGGTCTCCACCTAATGTTTGACTGTGGGTCTCAGCATCTGTTTCTATCCTCTGCTGGGTGGAGCCTCTGAGAGAACAGTTATGTTAGGCTCCTGTCTGCAACCATAGATGAGAGGTCGGGTTGGCTCTCTCCCATGGGGTGTGTCTCAGGTTGGGCCAAACATCGATTGGCCATCCTCTCAATCTCTGCTCCATCTTTATCCCTGAGAATCTTACAGGCAGGGTGGATTTTGGGTTGAACGTTTTGTGGCTGGTGTCCCCTCCCTCCACTGGAAGTCTTGACTGAGCTAGGTGGCTACCTCAGTTTCCATGTCCACTACCGCTAGAGGCAGCCTCAGTCTGGGGAATTGAGTCCATTGATGTTGAGAGATACTAATGATCAAGGATTGTTTATTTCTGTTATTTTGATGGTGGTGGTGGTAAAGTGTGTGTGTGTGTGTGTGTGTGTGCATGCGCGTGCGCATGCTTCCATTCTTTTTCTGGTGTGGAGCTATTTATTTCCTGCATTTTCTTGGGTGTAGTTAACCTCCTTTGGTTAACTACAAACTTTTCTCCTAGTATCTTCTGTAGGGCTGAGTTTGTGGATAGGTATTGTTTAAATTTGGTTTTGCTGTGGAATATCTTGTTTTCTCCATCTATGGTGATTAAAAGTTTTGCTTGAATAGTTGTCTGGGCTGACAGCTGTGGTGTCTTACAGTCTGCAACGTATCTGCCCAGGCCCTTCTGGCTTTTAGAGTCTCTGTTGAGATGTCAGGTGTAATTCTGATAGTCTGCCTTTATATATTACTTGGCCTTTTTCCCTTTAAATTTTAATATTCTTTCTTTATTCTGTACATTTAGTGTTTTGATTTTTATTTGGCAGCAGGATTTTCTTTTCTGGCCCAATTTAATTGGTGTTCTGTAAGCTTGTATGTATATAAGGATCTCTTTCTTTAGGTTGGGGACATTTTCTTGTATGATTTTGTTGAAAACATAAAAATACGGAAAGCTTCACAAATTTTCATGTCATCCTTGCACAGGGGCATGCGAATCTTTTTTGTGTCATTCCAATTTTAGTGTGTGTGCCGCTGAAGCAAGTACAAGTTTGTTAAGTTTTAGGACAGTCTGTAGACTACTCCATACTTGAAAAAGTAACACATAGGACAGAAAAGTCAGGCTCACAATCCATCTACGCTGCCTCTCCTCAGGGTAGGTGGTTTTAAGAAAAGACTATGGGGATAAACAAACACCATTAAATATTTTGGCTTTTTAGATCTATTCATTTGCCATTAGAAATCCTGATACTTCAATGAACAAGATGCATCAAGTAAAGTTTTTGCAAAAATATCATGCTTGTGAATTTAAACTTGATCCTTTTTTTTTTTTTAATACTTTCATTAGATAACCCACTCTAAGTACTGATAAACATATTAAAACTAACATGGGACAGATCAGGGAGCACTAGTTCCCTGGCCTATACCATTTCCTGGGACCTACCCTGATTTCTGGCTCCTGAGACCAGCAGGGCTCAGGGAACAGCAGGTAAGAGGCCACCCACCCATCTACTGGCCTGCCACAGCCTGCCAGCAACACTGGCCAGATCTGCCCCAGGCGCTCTGTGTTTCACTTCGTCTGTGTGCCCCACACCCCAGTTCCCCAACCTGCTCCATTTCTCGGGACCCACACAGATCAGGGAGCAGCAGTACCCTGGCCTGTGCCATTTCCTAGGACCTACCACTATCTCTG